CCCGAGTATGCCAACCTGACACACGCCACGAGGAGCTGAAGTATTTGTTCATTCCCAGTTCCATCGTCACTTAGAGTACAGAGTATATTTCCTGTATATCTGACGCCTTATCATCTCCGTTACCTTGAGAGAGTCGTTACACACACACCGCAAGCCTCGCCCTTACATCACACACACACACACCTTGCCATTATGTGTAGCTGCAAATTGCCCCGAGTAGTAACGTTTCATCCAAACCCTATAAATTATTCTCTAATAACAGCTAATTAGTATTTTGAATTTTATAAACAAACGAACAAATAACTTTTTCGATGATAGAGAATTTAAAGTTATGAATTTGTTGTGTGTTGACATTGAGTTGTGATGAGGATTATTTTATTATTATGTGAGTTAAGGGAAGGTGTACTGTTGTGTGTTGACATTGAGTTGTGGTGAGGATTATTTTATTATTATGTGAGTTAAGGGAAGGTGTACTGTTGTGTGTTGACATTGAGTTGTGGTGAGGATTATTTTATTATTATGTGAGTTAAGGGAAGGTGTACTGTTGTGTGTTGACATTGAGTTGTGGTGAGGATTATTTTATTATTATGTGAGTTAAGGGAAGGTGTACTGTTGTGTGTTGACATTGAGTTGTGGTGAGGATTATTTTATTATTATGTGAGTTAAGGGAAGGTGTACTGTTGTGTGTTGACATTGAGTTGTGGTGAGGATTATTTTATTATTATGTGAGTTAAGGGAAGGTGTACTGTTGTGTGTTGACATTGAGTTGTGGTGAGGATTATTTTATTATTATGTGAGTTAAGGGAAGGTGTACTGTGAGTTAAGGGAAGGTGTACTGTACATATGAGCTGTGTTCTTGGTTGTGTGGTGCACCTGTAGGTTTTATTTGGGTTGAATTTGAAAGACAATTGAACTTTGCAGCAGGTTAAACAACGTGAGTGTCCTTGTGATACTTTCACTTATTATAATTAAAAAGCAACAGTTAGTGTAGATATTAAGCTGATAGGAACATGTTAGTTTAACCTCAGAATAATTCAACCTATTGACCTTAAGAGTTTCAGATAAAAACATCTTTATTTCAGTGGTTGACATGTACGTACAGTTCTAAAGCAACCACCAGGTATTAAGGTGATCAGTGGTCAAGAAAAACAGGTCCACGCAAGTCTAGATTCAATTTAACCTTCAGATATTTTTTACTGACTTAATTGCAGCCAGACGATTTTATTCGGTTCAGGGTGACTTTCCGCTGCTGAAGATACTCATGATTAACCAAGCTATACCGCTACTTAGGGAGAGGAGGTTAGTGTTAGGTTAGGTTAGGTTAGTGTAGATTAAGTTAGGTTAGTGTTAGGTTAAGTTAGGTTAGTGTTAGGTTAGTGTTAGGTTAGGTTAGTGTAGATTAAGTTAGGTTAGTGTTAGGTTAAGTTAGTGTAGATTAAGTTAGGTTAGTGTTAGGTTAAGTTAGTGTAGATTAAGTTAGTGTTAGGTTAGGTTAGGTTAGTGTAGATTAAGTTAGGTTAGTGTTAGGTTAAGTTAGTGTAGATTAAGTTAGGTTAGTGTTAGGTTAAGTTAGTGTAGATTAAGTTAGGTTAGTGTTAGGTTAAGTTAGTGTAGATTAAGTTAGGTTAGTGTTAGGTTAGGTTCGTGTAGATTAAGTTAGGTTAGTGTTAGGTTAAGTTAGTGTAGATTAAGTTAGGTTCGTGTAGATTAAGTGAGGTTAGTGTTAGGTTAAGTTAGTGTAGATTAAGTTAGGTTAGTGTTAGGTTAAGTTAGTGTAGATTAAGTTTGGTTAGTGTTAGGTTAAGTTAGTGTAGATTAGAGTTGGGTTGGTGTTGGAGGTTAGTTGGTGTGAGTTAAGTTGGATGGTGTTAGGTTAAGTTGATTGTAAGATTAAGTTGGGTTGGTGTTGGGTTAGAATTTGAGTGTAGATTAAGTTGGGTTGGTGTTGGGTTAATTATTAGATTAAGTTTTGGTTGGTGTTAGGTTGGGTTGAGGCGGGTTAAGTTTAGGTTGGTTGGTGTTAGGTTGAAGTTGAGTGTAAGTTGAAGTTGGGTTCAGGTGTAGATTGAAATTGTGAGGTTAGTGTTAGGTTAAGTTAGTGTAGATTAAGTTAGGTTAGTGTTAGGTTAGTGTAGATTAAGTTTGGTTAGTGTTAGGTTAGGTTAGTGTAGATTAAGTTAGGTTAGTGTCAGGTTAAGTTAGGTTAGTGTAGATTAAGTTAGGTTAGTGTTAGGTTAAGTTAGTGTAGATTAAGTTAGGTTAGTGTTAGGTTAGGTTAGGTTAGTGTAGATTAAGTTAGGTTAGTGTTAGGTTAGGTTAAGTTAGTGTAGATTAAGTTAGGTTAGTGTTAGGTTAGGTTAGTGTAGATTAAGTTAGGTTATTGTTAGGTTAAGTTAGTGTAGATTAAGTTAGGTTAGTGTTAGGTTAAGTTAGTGTAGATTAAGTTAGGTGTTAGGTTAGGTTAGGTTAGTGTAGATTAAGTTAGGTTAGTGTTAGGTTAGGTTAAGTTAGTGTAGATTAAGTTAGGTTAGTGTTAGGTTAGGTTAGTGTAGATTAAGTTAGGTTATTGTTAGGTTAAGTTAGTGTAGATTAAGTTAGGTTAGTGTTAGGTTAAGTTAGTGTAGATTAAGTTAGGTTAGTGTTAGGTTAGGTTAGTGTAGATTAAGTTTGGTTAGTGTTAGGTTAGGTTAGTGTAGATTAAGTTAGGTTAGTGTCAGGTTAAGTTAGGTTAGTGTAGATTAAGTTAGGTTATGCTAGTTGCTAGTGGAGATTGCCAGTTAGTGCTAGTTAGGCTAGGTTAGTGTATTGCTAGGTTAGTGCTAGGTTAGGCTAGGTTAGTGCAGATTGCCAGGGGTTAGTGCTAGGTTAGGTTAGTGTAGGTTAGTGTAGATTAAGTTAGGTTAGGTTAGGTTAGGTTAGGTTAGTGTAGATTAAGTTAGGTTAGTGTTAGGTTAGGTTAGTGTAGATTAAGTTAGGTTAGTGTCAGGTTAGGGTAGGTTAGTGTAGATTAAGTTAGGTTAGTGTTAGGTTAGGTTAGTGTAGATTAAGTTAGGTTAGTGTTAGGTTAGGTTAGGTTAGTGTAGATTAAGTTAGGTTAGTGTTAGGTTAGGTTAGTGTAGATTAAGTTAGGTTAGTGTTAGGGAATTTAATCTTAAGGTAAAAATAGGCTGGGGATTAATATTCAGGTGATCCAAAAAATTGAAGACAAATGTACAAGCAGCGACTTTAACTTAAGCTGTACAGTATATATTACATAGTTCAGGCCAATTAGTTAGGAACGAGAGCAGTTTTATTGTTAAATGACCTACACGAGAGGTCACTAGAGGTCAAGGTATTAGTATCGGTCCATGATAATTAAAATATCTTCAGGATATTAATGAGTAATTAGTAACACTGAGAGAAGTTTATCGCATGAGTCAAATCAAATGATAACACCGTCTAGTGTTTTACGAGTATCTACTGAGACACGATGACGAACACTGCCTACTGGTGTTTCTCACATGACCCTGACTTATGAGATTTTACTAAGGAATCACTAAGGAAGTAAGAAATTAAAGGAGGTGGAGGAAGGGACGTCTATTATTACTGTAATGATCTGTTATTATTGTATTTTTTGTGTCCTTCTCTTTAGCTTGACCTTCCTTCTTACATCCCAGCACAGAGGTGACAAGAAACACAATGTGGACAAATGTAAAGTACTCAGTATAGGAGATGTAAACAGGAAAACCAGTTATCAGATGAACAACAATGCCATTGTGGAATCCGACTGCGAGAGAGATTTAGTTGTAATGATAAGTAGGAATCTTAAGCCAAGTAAACAATGTGTTTTTCCTCGTAACAAGGCTAATAAAGCACTTGGGTTCATACAAAGGAGTGTTAGTTACAAGACTACCGAGGTCATCTTAAAATTATATCTAGCGCTTGTGAGACCTCACCTGGATTACGCAGTTCAGTTCTGGTCACCGTATTACAGAATGGATATAGAATCCTTGGAAAGAATCCAGAGGAGAATGACAAGACTAATCCCGGGCATTAGGAACCTTGAGTACAGAGACAGGTTAAAGCATCTTAATTTGCACTCCTTCGAGAGACGTAGAGCGAGGGGCGACATGATAGAGGTGTATAAATGGAAGTCAGGGTTAAACAAAGGGGACATTACAAAGGTACTCAAACTATCCAACCAGGAGCGAACTCGTAACAATGGTTTTAAATTAGACAAATTTAGATTTCCGCGTGAAATAGGTAAACACTGGTTTGGAAACAGAGTAGTGGACGAATGGAACAAGTTCCCAAATATCATCATAAACTCGAATATGCTGGATAACTTCAAACATAGGTTGGATGCTTATATGAGCAATAGGGGTTGGGTGTAAACGGGACTGCCCAGTATGGGCCAATAGGCCCGCTGCAGTTTCCTCCATTCTTATGTTCTTATGTTCTTATGTACATTGACCCAGTAGATGTATTTGTTGGGTATTTGTATTATGATTACTTTACTGTTTTCTTCTACTGTTTCTATAAAAAATAACATAACGACCTCAGTTGCTGAGAGCGGTAATAACATTATAACATCAACAGTCTAAAGTCTAAACAATCAACGTGTTTGTGATATCGGAAAGTTTTAAATATATCTATGACATGTTTGTGGTTTGATTAGGTTCAAAGAAATCTATCATTGTTTCACTATGGGGGAAATCAGGATTAAAAGTTCAGGAAATAGCGTCAGAGTAAATAATAAAGTTTCCCTCCTTGGGGGGAAGCCGAAGGTCACGGGTGGGAGACGAACGTGTTGAGGCTATTAGGAGAAGTCCAGAGATATAGGAGGAGATAAGCGAAGACAGAGAGAAAGAATGAGAAGATGGGAGAAATGATAAAACACATACAAACCTTAGAGAGAGAGAAAGAGAGAGAGAAGTACGAGTAAACAGAGAAAAATAGGACAGTTATAGACGCTTTAACCTTTACCTGTAAAATAAAGAACAATATAAATAATAACGTACCTGCTGAGAGACACATGTGCCAGGGAGAAAGAGAGAGGAGGGTGTGTGGGTCGCGTGTGGCGGCTGCAATGATTGTGGGAAGAATGAGGTACAGTAGACTCAACTCGCTGACTATACGCTGGTGTCGGGGTGAGTCATTGCTGGGTTTTTCGGCAACAGGTGGGGAGGAAAGGCAGTGTTGCAATTCTCGTGTTTTACCAAATAACGTTAATGGTGAAACAAGAGTTTTTATTCATGAACAGGTGAGGTTACTTGCTGGTAAACCTCCCAGAATGGAACTTCACAATAGTAGTCAGTCTAAGGATGTTAAATAAGCGTTCCACTTCAATCTCGGAATGCATTGGCTCCACCAACATGCTTATTTGGTAGACGGTGGCCAATGTGGCGAGGTGTTGTGACGTATGGAGAGGGAGCGGTGGGAATTTTATTAGCCGAGTGGGAGGGAGGTGTTTAGTAATGTGTCCTCAACCTGTGAATGCTGATATTTCAAATGTGGTTTTAGGTAATGTTGGGATAAACCACTAAAACACTACTGCATCCAGTTCTCTTCATTATGTGGACGACAGTCGGACTTTCCATGCTTAGATTTTTTACCATATATGTCATTGAATAGGGAGAAATACGTTTGTTGTCAGCAAGAATAATGTGCTGTATCATACTGGGGGAATAGTGAGTTTGCCTACAGTCTGTATAACACATTAGTACAACACTCAAGTGACTCACGAGAGTATAAAGCCGCGTACACACACATTGTTGCGAACATTGTCTCTGGACTGTCTCGCAACATTCCAGAAACACGATTTCAGATGAATCTTGTTTCCCATTCCATATTAAGATACAAAGTTGCTCAATCTGGACGCATTTGACAACACGAGGATCAGTTGACGTTGAGCTTGTGATCTGCGAGGTGGGTTAGCTGACACTCTACTTGCCTTATTGTTTCCTTTGTAAACAGAACTACTGTACATGTTACTGCCTTAATGTTACTGCCAGGCGTATTTTGGCAGGGATTGAGTCTCGATAGTTTGTATTTTGCTTTGTGATTTTGGGACCAACCATTTTCAGTAATATTTCAAAATCTGAAGCTGTTGTTCTTAAAAAGTTTCTAAATCCAGCAGCATCTTCTAGTTTCAGGTCTGCCATTAGTTTTTTCTTCATATGTTGTTCCTTCATCAAAAAATTTCTTCATCCACCATCGTCTAGGTCTTTTCCTTACTCTCCGCCTTACTTCTTCAAAGGAAAATAACAACACAGGCATCCGCCACAGCTGCCACTTCTGCACCCACCGACAGGACGACGTCTACTGCTCTTTCCGCCAATTCATCGCTCTAGCTCGGTCTAGATGTGCACCGTCCACGACTATTTCTAGACCATGTATCTTGGTGTGTACGAGGCTTAAGGATAATGTTATATAGTTTGTGTATTACGTTGTTGTGGTGTTGGTAGCTCTGATGGTGGACGTGTTCAAAAGCGATGATTTGAAGAAAAAGTTTTCTTTTGCCATTTGTTAACGATATAAGACGATTTAATATAGTTGTTTTATCTCTTTATGTGTTTTTTTTTCGTTTTATTTAGATAATAAATTGAGTTAAACAAAATTAGAACCAAATTGTCAAAGTTTCTTCATTGTTGACTGACACTGATGAGGACCGAGGAGGAGGAGGACGGAAGTGTTGGTTCATGACGAGCGCTGATATGTGTTCGGTACAATGAACTCATTCATATGGGAAAATAGTCTTTGTATATGGAAGGGTAAAGGTTTCTCATGTACATACAATAATTTATGTTGAAAAATAAAAAGTATTTACATGGATCAACGAATTAGGTATTTCGTAAATTCAAAGAGATACAATAGAAGTCTTCTCACAGTAATGATACAGGTTGATTCAGTCTCATGAAGCTCTGACACCTGCTTTGAGACTTTTTCCGAATTAGTGTCAAGAACCTTGACGATCAGTTCCGTTTCTGCTGTTGTTGTGTTAACAGCTCAGTGTCACAGTGACGTGTTATCGACGGTGAAGGATTATAAAATCAATAGGTAAGTGGTGGTCAACACGGGTTGTATTTGTTGAGGTTAATGTGTTGTTGCGGGCCGGAGCTGACTCCATCCATCACACAATGAACTTGGGCAAATTAAGAGATATTCAAAGAATTTAATGGCCTTAGCCCCTAGCTTCACGTATAATTTTATATGGGAAGAGCTGGTAATCTGAATCTATTTGGTTACATCCTACCCATCCTACTTGATATGCTCAGTCACAACCACCGTCTTGTTTGCTCAGCTGGAGTCTGTATAGCAGGTTACCAATATCTTAATTTACTGTTGTTATTCGAAAGTGAGGCACCTGAATATCAAGGTTGAATTACAACCGCTTACAAATACAGAAGGGTAGAAAGACAAGGCCCTACGGTACCTCAGTTGTAAATAAGTTCACCACTGCCACACTATCAAAACACTGTAAATTACTTATGTTTTCTATCTAATCATTAAAAGAGAGGAGTCTATGCACTGATTCAGTGGACTACCCTGGTATAAGCCAATAACAAAGAGCCTACTTGTGTAATTGAACCATGTTACCTTTACTGGAAGTCGAATGGTGTTGAATGTAACCCTAAGTCTCTTAAGTTATACTTTAAGGAGGTTTTATGATACCTGAGTCAGCCAGAACAAAATTATGATTCAGCCTAGATTGTCCTTAGCACCGGTGAAAATATTAAGTTAGGATTAAATAGTCTAAAATTCTACTCATACAATATAACAAGGATGCGTTATTTTATTCATAGCGGTAGTGTATTTCCTGGACCACTTTGGGTGACAGGTTTCGTGATATTCTTCTACAAAAACTGATGCACATAATAAATAAACTACTGTAGAGGTAGAACTGGTTGTTTGAAGGCAATAAACACTTGGGCATTACGTGGTTTTTTCTTAAATTGTTTACGTAATTCTGGAGGAGATGGCTGATACGAGAAGGCACTGTTCATTTTCGTTTATCTTTACCATCTGTTCTTTTTATTATAGTATTATTTATTATATTTTTTTACGGGGAATAGCCCACCCGGGCACAGGTCATCGACCCAACGATATTTACTAGAACCTAATAGAATCTGACCTAATCAAACAAAGAAACTTACCTAACCGTACCCAACTTCCTAGCCGTGGGACGACTACCCTTGGACCCCCGCGTTGTGCTGTAATTTTACGTTTTTTGTGGACATGAGAGTAAGGGACTGAACGGATAAAGAGCAGACGACAACACACGCCAATACAGCAGATTTTTCAGAGGAGTATTTACTGTAAATAATTAATATCTTTACGTATAGAGCACCTAGAGACGCAATTTACCGTATCCTTCATGCCTTGCTCAGTACGGGTGATTTATAACTGTAGATAGAGAAAACTACTGAAGTAAAAAAATAATACTTATCAAAATAAAAAGTTTACGTCCTTCTTCGAAAATACTTACTATAATGATAAGAACGTAGGCTACAAAAATGAACGAAATCGAACTCCTACTTCTGGTGGTAGCCATCTCCTCCAGTCATACCATAGTTTATATTTGATAATTTTAGGAGGTAGGTTTTCCACACCACACCAAAACAAAGTTTCTGACTTACTAGTAATTCGAGCAGGTCGTTCAAATTAACCTCTTTTGTCAACTCCTCCGAGTTACTTGGTACGTAAACTCTAAATCAATTTGATAAAATAATCTATTACTTTGTTTGAACAACATTTACAAGTCTCTTTTACTTAATTCTCTTTACATTTATATTTACACATATTGCATTACTTTTCGGGACAATGTCTTCTACAGATACAGTAACTTGTCAGAAAATTGGTAATTTACTAAGAAACTGATGGTTAATAACAACAATGGGCTCACATAGAGTATTTTAAGCCTTTTAGCCAAGAATGATAACTGAAGCTTGACTGTGGACAGGATCATTCGGAGAGATTAGGGGTAAAAGGGCAGCCGAGTCTTAGAGAAAATGTTGTAGAAAAATATTTCCAATTAAACGGATAAGAATCACAGCACGGGAAAATTGTCAGTGTAGGTTTATGAGTGAGTTACTATTGGGAGATTCTGACCATTATGACTTCTTGTATTTCACTGTGTCAAGTTATATCAAGGAGCTGTACTAATTCTCGTTGATCTAAATATCATTAAGTTGTATATTATATGAGTAATGAAAGCAGAACTGTTGTCCCATTCATGAATGTTGTTTCAGGCAGGATGGTCCCTGGCCCAAGACATGATGGGTGATGCCAAGGCTTCCTCTACCACCAGGGCAAGGTCAGTACTACTTCTGGTCTTCCTATTATGTCAATGGAATTATCTCCATTATTTTTTATGTTAACTAAAATCATTGCAAGAATTGTGGTTGTTCCAGTTAGTTGCGTCTCCTCGCGGGTAGGAGGTCGTAGGGATGAGGATTGACACCCTCTTATGCATTCCTCCTGATGCCTTTGTCTCTATTACTTTCACCATGTTTATGACCCACCAGAGTCCTCCCTCCCCGCTGTTCCTCGAGTCCTCCTCTCTCTTATGAGTCAAGCTCGTCAGGAGTTTTGGGTGTTCTTCCTTCTATAGTACTGTGCGATCTGTACCAAAGAAAATTGTCTGAGAGTTTGGGTTTAAATTCCTCGTTATTTATATATGTCCTCTGTCTCCACGCCACGAGCTGAGTGTAGCTTCATGGAGGATATTTTTATCAACTTCCTTTTTCTTGTTAACCACCAAGGCTCCACCTACATCTATTTTCGACCCTAAATATCTCCTTCCCTCGTGATCTGTAATAGCCTTGTCGGCTTTGGTTTCACAGTCATTAAAACACCAGCGTCTTATGTTCCTTACCACGCTTAAACGCACACTCTCTTCCAAACAACTTCTCACGGAAGTTGGATGCTGGCCAAACCTTTGGTGACGTCAGGATCACGCATTCTGAACCACTGTCGTATGCATGACTCTCCTAATGTATACGTTGCAGATATAAATTGCACGTACCTCATAGGTACAGTATATAATGGCCAATGTACTGGAGTGCAGGTATACACCACTGATATACTGTAAGGCCATTTCAACTTATTTCTTTAATATCCTTCACTCAACGAGTATTTTATTGCTCGTTAATTTAAGCAATTAATGAGATTCTGTCATTTGAATAGTGAACTTTAAATATTAATATTTAAACAAACTTTAACGAGAATAAAGAATATTATTATAGTTACTCCTCTTCTACACTCTGAGAGTTATAAGAGAAAATGTAAATTAAATAAATGGGAAACAACTTTATTATGACAAAGTTAATTTCTGTACGGGGTCCGGACCCCATCTTTACCAGAAAATTCCAATACTTATTCTTTAATGCAGTATTGTAATCGGGCATTTTAGTATAGTAAAAGGTAATTACTATTGACCTCACAACATCTCCTAATATCAAGTACACATGGCTTTAAAATGACCTCAAAATCTCCATGATATTGGTCAGATTTAAAAAAAAATCGGGGGGGGGGGGGTTTACAGCGCCTTCCCTAACCCCCCAGCTGGGTGAGCTCGCTGTGCTCGCCATGTTCCCCTACCCAAAACTTCTTAGACCCCCCTTTTTATATTCCTGGATCCGCCCCTGTATTGAGATCATATTCAGGGAGAAAGGTTAATGATGATCCAGGAGGTACACCAAGTACTGAAGGTCTTTACCGAGGAACCGATGTGTTCATCATTCTCACCACTCATCAGCCTCATTACCTGCTGCAGCTGTAGGTCTGTTCTTTGTTATATGACCTCTACTGTCCAGCGTTATTACGGGAAGAAACCGGAGTACCTGGAACACCCGGCGATGATTGACGGTGCGGTTCTTCTGCCAGTGTTTATGTTGGATTCAGGATGTGATGTCTTTTGATTTCATAAGATTTCCTGTTGAGTTCAGACATAGACTAGTGATTGTTTGTTGAGTTCAGACATAGTTTAGTGATTGTTTGTTGAGTTCAGACATAGTTTAGTGATTGTTTGTTGAGTTCAGACATAGATTAGTGATTGTTTGTTGAGTTCAGACATAGTTTAGTGATTGTTTGTTGAGTTCAGACATAGTTTAGTGATTGTTTGTTGAGTTCAGACATAGATTAGTGATTGTTTGTTTACATTCATCACAGCAAACGGCTACAGGTCATCAGAGCTCGTACACCGACCACAGCCACTGTTATGATGTAGAGGA